TGCCAATCAACAGGGGGGGCCATGGCCCCCTTGTGCCCCCCCCCCTTAGCTACGCCAGTGCCTGCGCCAATCTGATAGCCACTTAACCACTTTTATTACGCCGTTTGGCCGCTGGTGGTACACAAGTGCGCCGCAAGCTTTCCTCTCGTCGGGGGACAGTTACAATCGCCGCGTTGCCGCTGTTCTATCGAACTTTGAGCGCAAAGAGCGCCGCGTCGATAACACCGTCCATTATGATTCAGACCTTAAGCAGCACTGGTGGCGGACCATCCACCTCCTCAAACGCGTAAGCCAGGTAGGAATTGTGCTGAACCCCGACAAGTTCCAGTTTGCGGAGAGGATTCTATATTTTGCAGGCTTCAGGGTTTTCGATTCCACCATTGTGCCGCTACCCAAATACCGCGATGCCATAAGAGACTACGCCTCACCAGTATCTACGACAAACATCCGCAGCTGGTTTGGCCTCGTGAACCAGGTCGTCAGCTGCGCGACATTATCGCGCCGGTCAAGCCCTTCCTCAGTCCACGCTGCAAGTTCTCATGGTCTACCGAATTGGAGGAGGCCTTCCAAGCATCTAAACAAGCTATCGTTGAAGCCATCCGTCAGGGTGTAGAGATCTTCGACATGCCGAGGCGCACCTGTCTGCGCCCTGACTGGTCAAGACGTGGCATCGGCTACTTCCTACTCCAGCAACATTGCAGCTGCCCTTCCGGCGCCCCTGACTGCTGCCCCGGAGGATGGCGGATCACCCTGGCCGGCACGCAATTTTTTTCCTCTGCAGAACAACGCTAAGCATGCAACTATTGAAGGGGAGGTCCTGGCCGTTGCCTGGGGCCTTGAGCACCCCGATACTTCACACAGGGGTGTGACAATCTTATCGTCATCACTGCCCTTAAGTCCCTGGTAAAAAATCTTTGGCGACCGAACATTGGACGAGATCACCAACTCGCGATTGATCCGGCTCAAGCAAGCATTCCTGTGACAGCAATCTGGGTTAGTTAAGTTCAAAAAGGTCGCAGAGGGAATACTGACGGCGGGGTTTTGGTAGAGACAGGGGGGGGAAGACGACGGCACTCTGTGACTGCTATATGTTGTTCACTGTTTTTACTGTGTTATTTGTCTATACTTAGAATAAACTGTAGTTGTCACCGCTTAGAAGACTGTTACTTATCACTGTTTTACATTCGTAATACATTTATCTCTACAACAGTATCAGTGTTTAAAAAACATACAAGAAGGTAAGTAAATATATCTTCTATTGTTGTTGTAAATTATTTGTCGTGAAACCTGTGTAAACACAACATTATCGCATATATTTTTCTATTACCTACCTATATGCATTTCACATTTAGTTCTATCACATGTATTTAGCGACATTTGCTCTCAACAACCACTTGAAATTACCCCTAGTTTGTTTGCTCTACTCACTATAATGACTGAATTCGCCGATCACACCTAAGACACCACCTGCTACTCTATGTAGTGTAGAATTAATACATGCTCCGACCAAGTTGTTATAAGCCTTCTAATTAAACAGTCAACGTTTACTTTGCGGATGTAAGATTTTGTCATTCGTCGTTTAATCTATCTTACTGTGGGCATGACACTATGGGATACACCAATAGGCTATCAAATATAGTAATCTTAATCAATAAAATTGTAAGATCTCAAAATATTATATTACATTGAAATATCTCTAAAAAATAGTTTATGTCTTCTATAGAGATAATATCATAAAAGGTATTTACGTTGTTATTATAATTTCGGCTGCTGCAATGAACCAGATGGATGGATGTACAGAACACCAAAGAAGGGATGCAACGTATTTTATGCAAATGCCAATTGGAAAAAGGGCGGATGTGGAAAAAGTGGAAGAAACTAATGAGTTCATTATTGTATAGTTTGGGAAATAAAGACATTGTAGAATTATACATTTGTGTTTGTTTTAGCCAATTGTAACGTAAATGGTTAAAATACGACATCAACGGTTGATGTCAATACAACGTCAATGTGTGATGTAAATACAACGTCAATGTGTGATGTCAATACAACGTCAATATGTGATGTCAATACAACGTCAATGTGTGATGTCAATACGACGTCAACGGTTGATGTCAGCAAAACTATCATTTTCGACCCTTAGTTGATGGTCAGTTGACGTCAACGGTTGAGTGGGCCACAGTTTCAGTATGCAACGTTAACGTGAGGTGACGTGATATCCGAGTGACTCACCACCAGGATGACATCCTCATTTAAACCTCTTAAATCCCATTATTACACACAGGCACCGGCACCGATGTGGCACTGAACAACCTTGGTACACTTCCACACATCATACAGCCAAAAGAAAATACGCAAAACTCATTTAAATATTTTCGAATAGCAATGTTTATCAGACCCTATCAAACTATAAATTGAAGAATGATGTTAGCAGATATATAGACACATATAGCGTAAAAAGTACAGCAACACAGTCAAGAAACGTATCCACACATATCATACAGCATAATATACAGATCAAAATTATACTGATGATTTGGAATTAACGTGGCGACCCGATCCTGCGGAGAACGACTTTGCGAGAGGCTATATTCATAATGAATTTATAGATTCAGAGAAAATTCGACGGACTTTGAACTATCCATGATGACATCAGCGAAATTGCGAGTTAGACAGGGAGCGTCATTACTGTATGCAGATGTACTAGTATATATAATAATTATATATAATATAATACGTGAATATATATATATATAGTGATATAGATATATATATAGATATATACGCACTGTATATGTGCTGGTATGAAAAAATTATGTGAGTGGGGTGCTGTCGCCACGCGCCGTCGTGCATGCATATGTGTTTGTAGATCAAAGTGCAAATCCGCGTCGGTGCGCGTCAGATCAGTACTGGTGTACCGTCGCGTACGGAGGGTGGGTCGTTGGTAACAC